TACATACGACCACAGGGTGTGGAGAACAGGGCTTCCCGTCCGCTCAGCCGTACTTAAGCCACACTGGTAAACGTGGCCAGAAGTTAAATGAGCCCCGAGGGTGTCGCTGCTTTATGGGTGACAGGCGCTAAATCATGGGTGAGTATAGGTGAGATGGGTGAGAATTCGGTGAGAATATCACCCACCAGGGTGAGTGGGGGTGAGAAGGGTGAGCTACAGAACGCTACGTAAAACAGGCTGCAATCTTTATTCCTCCATCTCTGACATAAATAGAAAGGGCTTCTCCTACTTCTATCCGTTCCTTTTTGTTGTCCTATATTCCTCGATTCCCTCCTTCATCACGTGATCATGACTGGGTCTATGGAAACGAAATTGGAACGTCTGAAAAAGGCTGCAGAAGCCCGTGGATTCACAGAAGAATACCAAAAAACTGTGGAGACAAAGGAAAATGTTATTAGCAGCAAAAAAAGGTCTCCAGCGACCAATGAGGTATATGACCGCGCCATGAATACATGGAAACTGTAAGAAGAATCTAGTCTGAGTCTCTAAGAGATGATACTAAGCATTATGAGGAAACAGGTGGCTTTTATCAAGGAATCAGCCTGGAGATAGAGTCTTCGACGCCAATGAATCTTGCCCCTCTATTCAAAGTCTTAAGCTCTTTGCAGAGAGTTATATTGCGCTTCGCGAGGGCCCCCTACCAAGTCAGCAATCTGTCTTGCAGAATCTTACTCGTTTCATGAGTGAATGGGAAAGGATAAAATTAATTGCAATACCTAAACACCTGAAAGATGATGCTTACAGCGTTTGTTCTCTATTTCCCTTCTAAGGTATCTCCTAACTAGATGGCAGTATATCAGGAATGAGCTTACGACAAAGTACGGACTGAGCGCCAAACACAGAGAAAAATACCCTGTGACACGGGTAGACCTTAATATTCTGATTCAACATCTTTACAAAGGTGATACGCATGATTATGTCCATGAACGCGGTCGTTTTCAACAAGCCTTTGGCCTATCACTATTTTCCTCTTCCGGAGCCAGAGCAGGCGCTATTGTTGAATCAAGCGCCTACCGGGACACCAATGAGGCTCTTTATTATCAGGTAAGTTGCTTCCAATTCTTTTTAATAACCCAACTGCTTAATGTCCCTATAGCACCTCTCCTTGAACATGAGGTGGGATGCTGGAGAGAATGTCAAATATTGGGTCACCATCAGTCCAGAGTTTCTAAAGGGTCATCGTTATGACGATGAAACTATTTTGTACGGCTTTTCCACGGACTTTTACTCTATATCTGATTACTGACAGAACATAGGCCTAAGAATTGGATCGGAGAGCAAAAAATTCTTGGAAGGAATTTTGTTTACTGGCTGATGGTATGTGGTATTGCCGACAAAGCCTTTCGGGGAATTCAATCTTTGAATGAGTTGCTTGCAAAGAAGCCTCCTAAAGGTCGAGATTCATGGACTCTTGAATGGGCTGAGCACGCCAAAAACTTGCCAGTGCTCCGGATGGTGACTGTTTCTGGTCCCCACTCATCTCGTGCTTTAACTTTCTCATCTTTGCGGCATCACTATAGCGCACTGGCGGAAAGGGCCCATTTTCGCGATCCTTTAAGAGTCCACGGGATTAGAGCTGGTACTGCAAACGCCATCGATCGTAAGTGAATCTGGTGTATGTGCCTTCGAAAGAAAACTAAGATTTATTTAGCAAAGGCCTCGGAAGCTGCACGTACGCAAGCATTGGACCACCAAAACCCCAATACTTTTTTTAAGTACCAGTCAACTTTAAAACAGCTTGATATAGGTGCCTGTTTCTGGAACGAAGAGGCAGACTATGAATCGCATGCTATGGAGCAAAGTATGGCCCATCACCGCGATACTAACTCTCCTTGCAAGATGGATGCTGCTGCCGTTGCTGAAATAGAGACTGATTCTGAGATGCTTAAAATCTACCAGAAGATTGATGAGCTTACCAGAAGGATTGCTGGTCGACCTCATGAGAATGCACTTCTGGCCGCTGAACGAGCTGTATGGTACAATAAAGCAGCCAAAAAGCGCCGTGCGAAGAAGCAAGAGTTTATCAAGACCTGGTGGGCGACATCGTACGACGAATATGTTGCGGGGAATAATTTTGATGAGCGAGATACCACAAACCTTTTCGAGATATATCGCAAGTACATGCCGGAAAGGGACCGGCTGGACAAGAACCTTTTCACGGAGACTCCAATTCACAGTGATATTGGAAGGCAGTGCTTACAGGATATGCTCAGGCTTATCACCTCACAGGAACGCGTGGCATATTATCCTGGCGAATCGCCTATCGACGGAAAGTGCCCAATCTGCCAAAGGGAAATGTCTAGGTACGTTGCATGCTAACAAGAGGAGTGTACCTGCTGATTATTATAGTATTGATGTACAAAGTCGTTCGAAACATGTTCTGCAATGCAAGAGGAAGACCTTGAATGCTGCCCCGTACCAACAAAGGTATAAGAACGGGAAGAGGGCCCATCGAAAGGCGAAGAACTCTTTTCTAGAATGGTGCTACCTATGTACAAAGTGGTTCCATTCAGAAGAAGAGTGGAAGGAACACTGTACATCCCACTTGGCTTCATTGCAACCTCGCTGTGGGCTACTCACATTCCGCTTTACTTTGGTGGCTCCTGGATTTTGTCCTTTTTGTTTGGGCGATCATACCCAGGAACCCGATGTACGATTTCAACAATGGCGGGTTAAGGCTACTCTAATAAGCCATATCAACGGACACTTGAACGCAATCAAACCAGAGGGTCCAATCAGTTGTCCTCATCCTAATTGTCAGAAAAAGGTCTACAGTAGTAGCCTCAGTTTGCGACAACATTTTTTCAACGTCCATTCGATTGAAGAGCCTCGTCGGAACTGCACCTCAATCAAACGGAAATGGATACTCGATGAGATTGAAGAGGGACCAGAGAAGTCAAGTAAGGTTGTTAAGAAAAAGTAGCTCAGATACAGCAGATACATAGATGGATGGATAGACTAGTTCATTTACCCTGGACCTCTCGCACCAGAGCGATGTACAGCTATATACAACTATCTATATATCTCCCTGTGTACAACGACATGAGCCTGTCCAGAAGATAGGCTGTAACTCCATTATACGTGATCCCGTTTCTTAATGCGAACCTTAAGCCTTGCCTAGAGGCCCGTGGTGGCCGTTTGCATTAAGTTCTGTCTTTGCGAGCCCTTTGGTCTGCGTCCACGAAACCTTTGAGATGTTTCTGCGAAGTCCAGCACAGCCATGGGCATGGCTGGTTTCCCCTTTCCCTCCTGGCATGGCCGATATGTGTCCGAACGCCTCACCAAATTCCTTGCGTAGTGTTTGTCGCGGCGTTCTCAGGCACAAACCAGCAGTGGCCAGCACGTAGCTGGATAAATACTGAGTTTAGATATGTTTCATCTATGTTCCCACTCTTTAAGGACTTACTTTGAATGCCTACTCCTACATGGGAGACAAGGCGGTGGAAAGGATGCATTTTATTTCAACCAACTGCTAATCTGGCTGGTTTGTCCACTGCATCGTTTCGAGGGACATCGCAATGTCCCGGAATCCATTGGAGGCGGAGGGTGACGCCCCGTGTTTTCAGTTCCGAGGCTGCCTGCAGATTGGCATAGCTGATTTGTTGTCCTGACCTATTGCATTGGTCCTGTGATACTTGCCGTACCCGTATGGTCTCGCAGCATGGATTAGCATAGAGGTTATACTTAAAACACTGTCCCATTAATCGCCATTATTCTCAAGCATTCGGCCTGCTTTACCCCAAACTGATTTTCTTTGTCATAGAACAATTGCTGAGTTTACTATATGAAGAAAAACACTAGATCCGGGTGAGGATGCTTTATTCTAGAAAGGAAATGAGCGCAAGCTCTGCTAACGCTATTATTACTTTAGAATCCTGCTATCTCTATTGGGAGGCTTAAGTTACCCAATTTTGAGTACACGAACCATCAGACTGTGTGCAGAGTTTGTTGGTGATGCTGTTCTTTCTTGAGGCTCGACGGCAGCGCAAGAAGACTCAGGACGACACCGGGAAGCTTGTGGGAGCAATCATCGGCCCTGTACTTATTCTGCTGCTGATAATATGTATTATTCTCTGGATCTGGGCTCGAAGGCGGGCGGTAAATCAAACCAAACGCTCTACCGGAACTGGGGATAGGAGGGGATATTACATGGGTGATCCAGAAAGCGGTAGTAGAACATAATTGAACTTGGGTCTTGGCTATGGGTCCAATAAATAATCAATGAGTTTTGAAGGTCGTAGGAATTTTAAGAATCACTGTACCACTAGTCAGCCATATCTCACGCTATTGTTACACAGACCTGATATGGAGCCCTCAAATTTGTCGACTACGTGCTACGAACATGCCAAGCATCCTAACATGCAAACGAGGTAAGAAACTCTTCCAGGTTCAATCCCAAACTGCTCCCCTTTCAAGTTCTGCCCTTTTACCTAGCAACATGATGGTAAAGCATTTCCAGACAGATGCACTCCAGGAGCTCTGCACCGATGAGCAACTGGATCTCCTCAATTCGACTGATAACCTGCGCTCTCAAGGTATTAATCATTATATATCTTTGCCGCAGATAATTGTGTGTGGCGACCAGTCGTCGGGAAAAAGCTCAGTTCTGGAGGCTATTTCCGGTGTCTCGTTTCTAGTGAAAAGCAGCTTATGCACAAGGTTCCCCACGGAGTTGGTACTCAGGAAGAATGTTCAAGTGGGTGTACGCGTGTCGATTGTACCTCATCACTATCGTAGTGATGTGGAACGAGAGTCGTTGAGTAGATTCTGCGAGGAGATTCATGGATTCGACGGTATTTCAGCTCTCATTGACAACGTGAAGGTGGCTATGGGTATAATAACACATGGCAAAGCGTTTTCAAATGACCTCCTTCGAGTAGAGGTTTCAGGTCCGGATCGCCCTCATTTGACTATTGTTGATCTCCCCGGCCTTATACACTCCGAAACCAAACAACAATCCGCTGCAGATGTACAGCTTGTTCAAGGAGTGGTCCGGAGCTACATGACGGAGCCGCGAAGCATTATCCTCGCTGTGATATCTGCGAAGAACGATCTTGCCAACCAGATCGTGCTGAAACTGGCCCGAGATGCTGATAGCTCTGGAGATCGGACACTCTTCTAAAGGATTGCCAGAAGGGATTGAGACAGATTTTTGGGAGTCTTTCAAACAGCTCAGACCTTATACTCCGAAGAAAAAAAAGCACAAAAAGAAGGGAGGGAAAAAGAGCGGTGGAGAAGCTACTTTTACTGTCTAATTGGATACCGTATTTTCTTTATGTCACAGTAATATGATATGTAATACCACACACGAGTGATGTATATCATTTATATCGTCCCCCACGTCCACATCCTGCGAAACACCATTCTCTCGAGCTCAGGGGTCCTATCTAGGAAGTCAAGAAAACCAGAATCCTGCATCAAAACCTCTAAATTCCACACCATATATTCACAGAGAATATGCTGCAAGTTGTCCATAAATTCGCTCTCTTCGAAGACAAAGCAAAATAGCTTCACGATATACTTGACTTGATCAGGGCGCAAGACAAGGCTCTCAAGTGCCTTCGTAAGGTAATAAAGCGAGAGGCCACATAACGCTGGGCAATCCGACCTCGATGCGTGACGGTAGGTACGGGCATGGCATAGATATATCTCTGAGAGATCATCTGGGACGCCCGTGGATGAAGACTGGAACATAGGGGGCTTGTCCAAGTACTTCTGCAGGATATTGTAGAAATGTGGCAAAATTCGAGGGTGAAATAGGTTGCACGTGAGGTTATCCCGGTTGAAGAGGCGCTCCTTTAGCTGATCAATATCCCCATTCTCTTCCGCTGGCGCAGGAATGACAGAGTAATCCCCGGTATAAGCATACTCGCAGCAGTGCTTGAAAGTTGTTTCGTCCACGTCTTGGAAGTCAAGGGTAACTCCTTTGGTTTCAGCTCCGGAATCATCACTCAATCGTGGTTTGAGGAATTTATTAAGTGCCTTGACATGGACGTGGAATGGGGTTCCATCAGAGCCCACTAAACAAGTTGCAATCTCGCTACTGAAGAAGCTAGGATAGTCAGCAATCCATTTGTCATGAGCTGGCTGCATTTAGGAAGTACCCGGGAGTTGAGCACGCCATTTCACTTCTGTCTTTTTCAGGCAAGATTAGAGCGTATTGGCGAGGGGTGATTCTGCTAAGGTTGATTGCGAAGTGAAGATGACCCAGGCAGGTTAAAAGTTTATTCTTGTCCAAGGATTCTTTTCAAGAAGAAAGGACTATTCCTTGTTTAAGAGCGTTCCACTAGATAGACTCTAACACTCGCAAACTGCAAGTGGGCCGTTGCGGACCAGTTTGGTACCGTCGATTGCGAACCGATTTGTAGTCGCAGCGTTAATACGGATTGTTGCTCTTAGAGACCCATACGATAAGCTAAGAACCGCATAATCAATTAAAGGCCTACTAGATAGTCTGCGGATATTTTTACATATAGTGCAGTGTATAAGAGGGATAAATGAGAGGCATTCAGGCGCGAAGCAAACACAAAGCACAGGATACACTAAAAATATATAAGAGGATTGCGTACTTCAAAATGACTGAATCACCCTGTGATATACTGAGGCATGTGCCTATTTAGTAGAGGGAGATACGCATCGTCGATGCCCTGGGCAGGTACAGTAGTTTATGGAACCTTGGCAGTATAGCCGTGGGCAGATGAGTATAAAAGCTTCCCTAGTAGCTGACCTGACAAAAGCCAGCTTTAATTTCCAAGTCATGCTCCCGTCGCAGTCTCTCTAGCTTCACGAACTTGAATAAAGTAGTCAGAGCCACTGAAATAGTGAAGGTTAATCCAGTTATGATTGTGGTCAAAACCGCCATGATAGACCAGTCACCATTTTTCGCGGTATAGATATTGACAAGAGTCGTGAGCAGGCCTGCTAAACTGTTTAGGCAGGTTGGTCTAGATATCTCGTCAGCGGAGTTTTCATATTTTCTTAGGTCAACTTGCATGAAAAGTCTGTTAATGAGCCAGATATAGTTATCCCTACGTTTCCAAAAGAGCCAAACCATACCAGTCAATCCCATGACCAGGAAGGCGCAAGCAATGGCCAATATGGGGGGGTTTTGGATGGAAGCGACAATGGCTTGGCCAGTTTCACTTGTGCTCAAATCATCATTCAACACATCTGACTTCTGTAGTGACGTAAATGTCCCAGGGATGACTAGGTATCCAGCGAGGAGCACCCAGTTTGCTATGCTCGAAATCACATTATAATACCAGGGAATATAATCAAGATCGAGCAGCATATGCATATACTCGGTTTTGATAGGGATAGTGTTGGTTCTGGGAAGAGCTGAGCATTCGTTTGTAGTGCCTGATTTTGAAAAGGCTTCCATCTTCAAGCATAACATAGGATTTGAGGAGACTGGCAAAAGTTGGGAATTGTAGAATGGGGTTAGAATCGCAAGGGCAGGACAGCTCCTGATTTTATATTTGCCGACTTGGTTGTGGGGACTGGCCCCCATCTAGGAATTTGAGTCAGGCTACTTAGGCTGCTAGAAGAGATGAAAACGACAGGCTGGTAAATATAATGTAGCAATAAAAGTCTATCCGTCTTCTACCTAGCTATGGTCAGGTCACGAAGCCTTTTTCTGCTGAGCAATTGAATAGAGTATCGGAACAGTCCTAAGGCACCATGACGGTGCGTTCACCTGCAGGTATGGGTGCTGGAAGGTATCGGTTAATTAAATCTGCCGCCAATATGCAAGTCTCTCACATACCTTAAGAAGAGTTTCGGCCGTAGCAGTTGGGGGAGCCCCCATAAAGTCCTGAGCGAGTAATCGGAGTGGGCCACAAGAACCGTCTTCTCGCTCTAATAGTAATCGCGCGATCTCACAAACGTCCTGGACATCCCTATTCTTACCAAGGAGACCAGGTTTCTGAAATACTGTTCTTCCGAGGCCAACTATGATTATTAGCAACAGCTATAATGTCTTTTAAGTTGAGGGCTGCTACCAATCTTGACATGACCTTCGTCCGTGATGATAATGTCGGAGCATTTAAGGTTGCCATAAAAGATATTCAAATCCTTGTGGATATACACGAGCCCTTCTAAAATCTGCTAGAAATAAGCCTTTATTGTTCTCAGCCTGGTATCATGACAGTGATTACCTTTTTGCATATGATTGCGACCTCTGCCTCTCCGAGTTGAAATAGGGGAGATAAGCTTCGAATTTGGTGCAACGTGACACCCCACTGACCGTAGAGAAAATATACATTTTCTCTTGATACGAATACTTCTTTGAAAGCTAGAAAGCTTGGGTGCGAAACTTGTGTCAGGCGCTGGAGTGGGATGTCTTTTCCCTCAGGGTTGTAATGACTCAGATATCCCACAGGCGTCCCATTCCTGAATTCGATCGCGTCGATTCCATTCCATGAAGGATGTAGGCCGATGAAAACGCGATCCAGCTGGTTATACGGACAACCATACTTGACCATTTCCCGAGGGGCAATCGTATTTTCCACCGGAATGGACGGCAATGGCATTTCAAAAATGGTAGTTCGGCGATTTGGCGCCATCCTGATCGGCGAACCCAGCTGCTTTGGAGAAGACATTCTTAAAGAGAAAGACAATTTATCATACAGTATCTCTAAGATGTCCATTAAACGTTTTTATAAGGCTCGGTGCTGCGAAACCGGATTGGTGCGATACCGTTTGGTATGTGCGTGATCTTTGGGTGGGTACATATGAAAACGGCGTGCCGCGGCCCTGTCCGGGGTCGCAAAGTGAGATTTTCCAGTAGCGCGCAACTGGTGAATATCATTTGCTTAGAAAGATTAAGACAAACATTAGTATCAATCAGAAATAAAGTGGGAGGCTTGGCTTCAAAAGCTCTCCGATGGACTCCGGAAACTACGCCTTGATGCGGAGGTTGTTCTACTTGCAAGTAATGGCGCGTGGCATACCTCATTCAGACTCCAGTTAAAGGGGATTTTTAATCTTGGTGACTTCCAAAGTTCCTTGGGCAATCATAAACATATTACAGTAGATACAGGGTTTCCGGAAACTGGTGTCACCGCTCTATTCTCTTTCGTTATATCTGCAGCCCTGATCCAAAACCACACTAAGCTACATTTGGCCAGTTTAGGAACATAAATGTTCCGGTAATTTGCTGAAAATGTAAGTATTTGAGATATTACAGAAGCTTGGCAGAGGTGCATTATCATAGAACCGCGCAGAAGTTGCACGACAATTTTGGAGGACCAATGTAAATCATACATTAGAGCCTCCTTCTGCAAAGAGATTAGTAAATATTAGGAAGGGTTTGGTTTTGAAGTATGGTCAATGTAGCATAGAATGGAATCCTATAATAAGAACTCGGCCGTCGCTATACCCAAGACTGATTGTAGCACCGTTGCCAGCTGAGCAATAATATTGATGATACTCAGGTCCAATGAAAACCAGTTTTTCACCTGCTACAGAAATCCAGTTACCTGATAAAGATACTTGAAAATCAAGATCCAATCGGGTTGAGTTCCTGTTGTTATGTGAAACTGGAGTATGATGACCGTCTGGAGGTGAAAAGTGGGCTATAGATTGAACCGAATCAGGGTGGCCCGTGAGGGTCTGCAGCTCGCTGCCGGTCTTGACATCCCAGAGTTTAATAGTATTGTCAGACGAGCCCGAGGCCAAGGTTGATCCATCAAAGGAGAAGGCCACAGAGCAAACTAAATCATAGTGGCCCGTGAGGGTCTGCAACTCGCTGCCAGTCTTGACTTCCCAGAGTTTGATAGTATTGTCAGACGAGCCCGAGGCCAAGGTTGATCCATCAGAGGAGAAGGCCACAGAGTGAACC